AAAAATTAAAGGGACTTCTCTAAGAAAAAGAAGATAAAAAACATTTATAGTAAAATGACAGCAAACTCACAATTATTAACAACCACACCTAAAACAAAAACAAAAACTAAGCAAACAGCTAGAACACAAACAGAACCACAGAAATGGAGATCACATGGAGGGTTAGCAAGAGGGGAGTGGGAGGAGGAGAGAGGGAGAAAAGGTACAAGAATAAGTAGCATAGATGGTAGGTAGAAAACAGACGGGGGGGGCAGGAATAGTATGGGAAATGTAGAAGCTAAAAAACTTATGACACATGGACATGAACTAAGGGGGGGAATGTGGGTGGGAGAGGGTGTGCAGGGTAGACAGGAATGAAGGGGGAAATGGGACAACTGTAATAGCATAATCAATAAAATACATTTTTTTAAAAAAGACTTTTACTTATTTATTTTTTAGAGAGAGAAGGGAGGGAGCAAGAGGGAGAGAAGCATCAATGTGTGAGAGAAACATTGATTCGTTGCCTCTTGCATGCCCCCAACTGGGGACCTGGGCCGTAACCCAGGCATATGTCCTGACAGCAAATAGAACCAAAGACCTTTTGGTTTCTGAGACAATGCCCAACCCACTGAGCCACAAGTTGGGGCTGTGGTTTTTTGGACAATCTAAAGGAAAAGAGGTCAGTGTCCCCAAATAAACAATCAGGTATCGCATGGTTTAAAAATTCTTGCAGCATACCAGCTGAAAATCACTGATCTAGGTGATTATCAAGTGCAGACGAAGTTGGGAACCAGGCCGGGCCTGAGAAACATGACTTCACAAGAATCCACCAGGAGCTCCAGGTGAATCGGAACTTGAAGAGTAACATATGATTAAATCTCACTCCCCGTGCATAAGCATTCATCTCTTCATTCATTCATTCAACAAATATGCCCTGAGTCCCCACAATGGCCCACAGTGCAGCATTACCAGATCATCCTCCTTTCCTCCTTAGTAAGCTCTAGACTAGTGAGGAAGATGGACAAAAACGTCAAACTTGTAAAGGAGTATTTACAAACTTGGATAAAAGTGCTATGAAGGAGCAGATGCTGAAAGAGAATAAAGTAGGGAGGAAACTGTTACACAGAAGCATTACCTAACGGGTCCACCCAGTGATTACCTAACCCCCTAGAGATTTGTACTTTTATTTTTACTATTTACTCTTGATTAGGCATTTTACAATTCTGAAAGGGTAGAGATTAATTTGTAGAAAACTATTAGCAAACAATTCTTGTCTAATAGCAATGCAAATGTAATTCCTCTTAGAGAAAGAGTATAATAATCAAGTTTCAGTTTTATTGACCTATAGGGCATTAATCAATTTTATATATAATTTAGTAATCTTATTCCAGCACTCTTTCCATGACTGTATATACTTCTGACTCACTTATACTTTCTTAAACCAGCTTTACTATATGATGGTTCTTTTTACTAATCTATTAATTTGACAGTACTTACTTTAGATAAGAAGAAGGGTACAGTCTCTGAATCCTGAAGGGTGAGAAGGAACCAGCCCTGGGAAGGGGAAGGAAGAACAGACCACTAGGAACCCAAAGCCTCCAGATAACATGGTGTTTCCTGCAGCAGGAAGGGGTGGCTCAGAAAGTACTGGAAGGCCAGTGAGGCTAGGGAACAGACTGTAAGCATGGGGGAGAAGTTTCAGATGAGAATGGAAAAGTATGCAGACTATATTATGCAGGGTTATAGATCAGTGTAGGGACATCGAATTTGGAACTATGTACAATGGCAAACCACTAGAGGGTTTAAGGAGGAGAAAGGATGACCTGATGGGTGCCTTGAAAAGACCACTGTTACTGCTGTGTAGGGGAAGAGAATGGAGAAGAGAGGAGGCCAGGCACATGTCATTCATGTAGGAAGTGTGGGACTCACAGAACTAAGGATGGACTCACAACCCCTGAGTGTGATGGGACTACCATAGCCCCATAGCCTTTCAGATTAGGTTCCCACAGAGCCTTCTCTTTGGCCTTTATGGTTTGTGTCATCACACATTAAGCTAATGGATTTCAAGCAACAAACTGAAAAATTGTTAAGCGGAAGCTTAAAGTTGGCCCAATCTTGCCCTCATTCTTACTAATATGCTGGCTGCAAATAACTTATTTAATAAACCTTTAAATGAATGAAAAAAATTCAGAATTGACTTTGAGTGTACTTAAACCCTCAGAGGTAAAAGGCATCAGGATTTATTTTATAAAACATAATTGAGAACACCTTATATTTGTGAAAAAGTGTTCATCCTATGCACAAGTGACAACTTAGACAACCCTTCCCCCATAGGAAATTGACCTAGACAACCCTCACACCCTGGGAAATTGAAATGTACATTTGGGCAAAAATCAGGTAAAAGACTTCAGTCTAAGTTAAAATAAGAAACCCAAGTGTCAGAAGTTTATCCTTGTATGCAGCAAAGCAATTCTAACTTTTCCAGAAGATAAAGTTGAAAGATACTACAATAAACCTTAATGACCATTTACAGTGGAATGGAAACTATCAATGTCTACCACACATTCAAATTCAATGTGATATAAGTTTAATTAGAGCACGTGACTAACAGTAGTGACTGTTATGTCTTTTAGCAATAACCACCAAATGTGCCACTGAAATAATACTCCAACAAGAACCCTGTTTCAAGGGGTGGAGATGGGAGGGAGGTGGGGAGAGCTGGGGGCAGTGGACTGGGATGTGGGTAAAGGGCAGAAAACTGTACTTGAACAATAATTAAAATTTAAAAAAATTTTTTTAAAAACCTGTTTCAAGGAACCAAATTATATAATACCAAGGGGTGCCTTTTGCATCATAGTTTTTCCCCATTTGGAAAACATTCCATGATTATAGATTACACTCAAGCACCTCATAAACAGAAAAAAATAATCAAGAAGAGGCTACTTTGAATAGCAATGAAAAGCATTGGAAATGGAGGCTCAGATCTTGGCTCCAAACTCTACTACCCTTGCATCCTTAGGCAAGTTATCGTATATTTAGGACTATAAGGTGTACTGGACCATAAGACGCACCTAGGTTTTAGAGGAGGAAAATAGAAAAAAATTTTTGAAGCAAAAAATGTGGTAAAATATTTAATAACCTATGACCCCACTCCACCACCACTCCCCACAACAGCAAGCCAGGTACGCTACATTCAGACTATAAGACGTATCCCCTTTCCCTCCCAAATTGGGGGGTGCATCTTATAGTCCAGAAAGATATGGTACTCAACCGCCCTAAACTTCAGTTTCCACATCTGTAAGATAGGGATAATAATAGTCCCTCATTAGAGACTGCCAGTGTTTGCCCATAGCCGCTTCTTTTTGCAGGCACATGAGAGAATTATATCTCCTCCAGTCAGCTCTGCAGTTCAATGAATCATGTGACAAGTTCTAGCCAACGCATTGTGAGCAGCGGTAATACAGGAGTCATATATATCCAGTCTAACACATTAAACTGCTAGGGTGAGAAAGTATTTCTCTGTTATGGCAATTATGAAAACAGGTGCTGTGTTTGGAGGTGCCACAAGATAAAGAAGCCAGGATCACAGAGCCACAACATGGAAGGCAGCTGCCCTAGGGGTCCACTGCAAAGTGGGAAGTGAACCTTTGTTTTGTTAAGGCACTGAGATTTCAGCAGTTTACCCTAGGCAATGAAAACTGACACAAATACCTAATTTAGGACTTGTGAAGACTAAATGAAACAGTGCCTGCCATACACTAAGCCTCTGATAAAGATTAGCAGAATGATCACAGCCCCCTGATGGGTTAGGGTAAAAGGGCTTTGTTTCCTATAGTCCAAGCTATCAGAATCTTCTCAGCTATTTGGGGTTGTCCTGCAAAGTTGCCATGGACTAACCATAAATCCTGAGCCAATGGCCAGGTCTATTAGGAGCTTCACAGGACTGGTATGAACAGCTGAGTGGTTTTTATTTCAATATGAGGAAAAGGAAAAAGTACCTGATTAGCTGTGTGGACATGTGAAAGTTATTTGTATCAAAGTAAATTAACAGGGGACCTCAGCACACCCCTTGAGTGTTCACCTTCTATATAGAGATTGGTAAAACCAATACCGAGGCAGTACAAATGATGCCAAGAGTCTGGGGCTTTGTGTTTTGTTCAAGTTGTATGAAGTGCTCAGGTATATGGTGGGTTAGGGGCAAGGATGGCAAGATAAGAAAATGTTAAATCAAAACTTTGAGCCCTGGATGGTGTGGCTCATGGGATTGAGCACCGGCCTACAAACCAAAGGGCTGCCAATTGGATTTCCAGTCAGGGCGCATGCCCAGGTTGCAGGCCAGGTCCCCAGTTGGGGGCACACAAAAGGCAACCACACATTGATGTTTCTCTCTCTTTCTCCTCCCCATTTTCCCTCTCTAAAAATGAATGAATAAATAAACAAATCAATCAATAAATATGTTTAAGAACAAGCTTTGAGCAGATAATTTTATTCTGCAAAAATTTTGGTACCCCCAAAGTACTTACTAATCATCAAGATAGTGCTTCAGTGATTGGGGAATTAAAGGATGATCGGAGCTGATATGACTGGAAGGGACAAGGGAAAGAGAAAGGGAGCAGTTCCACCAAGACTCTTCCAGATACTTATTCCCTTGTCCCAAACAGAGCCTTAAATGACATTATAGATTCCTGAACTGGAAAATTAAACCGAATGTTATTCTTTCACCACAGGCTCTAGAATTCCTATCCCAATCTCTTCCTGCTAATGAACAAAATCTATTTTTATGGCAAGTCAGTTAAAAGGAACTAATCTCAGGTCACTCTCTGAAAATTTTCCCAACTTAAAAAAAAAAGAAACTAAGATAGCTGCTAAGTTTTCTTATGTTAATTTACAGGATAGTTGGAAAAGGCAAGGAAAAAAACTCCATAAATACTTACAGAACAGGCCTTAAGCCTGCTAAAAATGGTTCTCAGAAATAAGTAACCCATCACAGATAATAAAATGTATAACAGGAAGCTACTCACCACATTTAATACTCTCTATCCGCACAGGGAGGCCAGACTGTGCTGCAGCAATTAATTTCAAGGCAACATAAAACTGAGTTGGACCAAAATAACCAACCCGCTTGGCACCACACAGTTCTGTGATCTGAAAACAGACAAGAAAAATGATGCTGAGAAAACCCATTTCATAACAGGAAAATGAGACAAGATACATTATGAAATCTCAAAGATTTCATAGAGCTAACCAAAAGTCCATGAAGAACCTATGTGTACACGGTTTTCTTTTTCTTCCAGTTTACAGGGAGAGTTTTCAATTCAGATAATTAAATTCTACCTACTCATTATTCCTCCTCTTTCAACAATAAAAATAAAGGTGACAAAGGATGGCTGGCTGTTACTCTTCTTACAAAAGAGAGTGACTTTTTCAGGGGGTGGATTCTGATGTACAAAGTCTAGGAAGTCACTGGTACAAAAAGAAAACAGATTAGTCATTACCACTACCTGTGGATGATTCTAGTTGGTCAGAATTCAAAGTGATTATTTTTAAAGTTCTCAGGAAAAATTATTTTCTAAGCATTAAAATTACATCTTGAGTGCTCACTCTGGAGAAACAAAACAGTACTATACACAGGTATTTTCAAGATATTGCAATCTTCCATTTGTAGACCTTTAACATATATCCTATTGGTGATTTAAAATAAAAAAATGAATCATTCAATGACTTTTTAAATGTTATTTCAAAGTAATAGATACTCAAAAGTTCAAATAACAGTAAGTGAATGTGAAGAAGTAAAAGGCACCCCCCACTTTCTATGCCCCAGAGGAAAGCACTGTATCTTCTTTTAGAATGTTCTATGCACATATGTATTACACATCTGTGTTCTTCCTGTTGTTTAGTCAATACTTTATACAAATAGAATAACACATACTATTTTGCACCCTTTTTTCATTTAGCAATACTGTTTTCATGCCTAAAGACATCTCAGCCTGGTTCCCTACCACTCTCAGGACAACATCCTATCTCCTTAGTATAGCATTCAAGCTCCTTCACAACCTGGCCCTAAGTGGCTTTTCTAGTTTAATCCCTGGATACATAAACACACGCACACAGTGCTGTAGCTGCCTTCAGTTCCTCCCACTGTCCAAACACATCTTGCCCTTTTATATCTCTGTATCTAGTGTACATGCTGAAGAAGATGGGAAACTAAAGAGCCTTAAAATCAATTGGTTTGCAATGAAGAAACTACTTAATTTTATGACTTTGGCAAATTAATTCACTCTGCCTGAAACCTAATTTCTTCATATGTAAAGTAGAAATATTCTCTCCCTCATAAGATTACTGTGAAGGAAAAAAATAAATAATATACTAAGTGAACCTAATACAATGGTTAGCAATAGTTATTAATTGTTGGGTTCCATCCCATTTACCTGGCACTGGAATCTCCTCCCTCCCCACTAGATTTAACTCCAACATCACTTCTCTGTTGCTCCTTCCCAAGTGCCCACGTATGGTTATTTTCCCAGTGTATTCTCTAATGATTCAAATCCAAAAACGTCCCTCAGATGATACATTGTCTTAGACTTGGTTTCAAACAAAGGGGGGAAGAGAAGTTAAGTGGAAAGTACGAGTGAAACAAGTCCAACCAAGAGTTGAGAACTGCTGAAGTTAGATGATGGGTTCACGCAAGTTCATTCTCCTACTCTGTACTTTTATATACACTTGAAATTATCCATATTCAAGCTTTTAATGTCTACTTCAACACTTATGATGTTATGTTACAAATACATGTTTATTTCTGCCTCCCATTAAAATGTCTTCCCTCTAAGGACAAGGAGTAACTTCCATTCATCTCTGAGCACAAGGGTAGGCACCCACAATACAGTCGAAATAGTCTCATTCAGGTGAATGAACAAACCCCTTACAAATAAAAAATAACTGAGTTTTACAATACAATCTCTTATTGTGAATAAATTCAAGTACAAACTTACCTGCAAATAGAAAAAAATACCAACTACATTATAGTTGTCTTGCAGAATACTTCCTAATATTAAGAAATTGTAGTCCTTGGTATGTGAACAATTTAACAACTATATGTCAGTCAGTGTTAATTTAGTACCATTAACTCTCAGTTATTTCTTTACCATAAGCACCACATAGAACCAAAAAGCTCTTAACTAAAGGGAACAAATTGCTGCTGAAATATTCACTATGGGACTTTGAGAGTAACACCCGAATCTGACATTAGTTAGTAAACCATGTTATTCACATAGGAGTCTGTCCTTTGGTCCTATATACCACTAGAACCACTGCTTTGTAGCTAACATAGAATAAGTGGAATTGTGATATAGTAAGAACAAAAGTGAAGTGAGCCCATGGGTCACTTTGTACAGCAGGAGACATGCCAAGAGCTTTCTGGAATATTTGAGCCACAAGAACGATAAATTATAAGCCTTTGGAACTTACATGTGAAACCTCATAAGCTGGAGACTTCTCAATCCCAAAAGCAGGTTAATTCTGTAAGGGTTTTTGTATGTTTGTTTATCAAGGTTCGAAATGTTTTAAGTCTAAATACTCCACAGAAAAGCTGTAATTTGTGGGTAAAAATGTTTTAATGTAGTCTAAAGAAAATAAGGTGGTGCTTTACAGCAGATACTGGGTTAGCAGAAGATATTTTATATAACTCTCCTTCTAACAGTCCAAGTTGCCAAGCTTTTCTCAAAATAAAGAAAAAATGAAAATATTATACCTCTTTTTAGTCTAAACTCCCAACCTGTAACACTCAGCTGGATCCGTCTTAGATTACATGCTGTGCAAATTTCTAATACAGAACAAGAACCTATAGACTGGTGTTTGTTTTCTCAGGTGGAAGGCAAGAGATGAAAAAAAAGAAATGGATGAAATCAACTTCCTTACGGCTTACAGATGTACACTAAACTGTCGGGGTGCTGGATATGAATCAGAAAAATTCACCGACCATTTGAGAAGATCTTGGAAAAAGTTCTGGAAGAAGATTGAAGGCCACTAAAATAGCTTCCCTCCTACCTAATTTTGAAAGATTAAGTGACTGTGCTGAGTAATCAGTCCACACCCATTCCAGTTTGCCTGATATACTTTCTTTCCTAGCTGAAATGCAGTAAATTTTCAGAACTGTTCAAAGGTCTGAATAAATTTCTCTCTTTCAAGTATTTTTTAAAGACTTCCTTAGAAAGATTTTAAAATTTAAAAAGCCTTGGTGAGCCCTGACTGGTATGGCTCAGTGGATTGAGTGCCAGCCTGAGAACCAAAGGGTCACCGGTTGGATTCCCATTCAGGGCACATGCCTGGATTGCAGGGGCCCCAGCTGGGGAGATGTAAGAGCTGATCGATGTTTCTCTCCCTCCTTCCCCTCTCTCTAAAAATAAATAAATGAAATATAAAAAAGTCTTGGTGGGAGGGGTTGGAAGAATTCGCCAACGGACCCCTCTTCTATTCTCTCTCCACTGCAACTTAACAAGTTCAGATTCTTTGGTCACATATTGACTACTTCAAGAGCTGTCCCCAGACTCATGCAATGTCATGTACCATCCTCTACATTCCCTCCATGATGTCTTATAACAAGATTACCCCCCAACTCAAAAGGGCTTTCAGGGCTCCTTGTTCCCTTTCCTGTAAAACCCAGACTCCTGACCATGGCTTTTGAGGACCTCCCATCTGGCCAAACTATCTTTCCAAAAACCCCATGTCTTTTTCCTCCCCACCTTTCATCTAAGGGTTCAGCCACTCCAGATGCCAAGCAACTCTCAACATATGAAAGCCATTCGGGTCTCTGGACACCTGGTTTGTCCCCTGCCTGGAAGCTGGATGTCTCCCAACTTTTTTTATTGGCCAGGCTCATCCTTCAAATCGCTTCAAGACTAATCTTATCTTTGAAACTTTAGTCAATTCCACGTGGCATGTCTTCCACATTCCCATAATCCTTTTCACTAGCTCTCTATCATATTACTGGCCTTGTAATATAGCAAAATTGGTATTTTGGTCATTGTCTCCACTGTACCCTATCTCTTTCCCATACCTCCCAAATGCCCAACACAAAGCAAGAGCATATTTTTATCTAAACTAATGAGAAAAATGGAACCAGAGACATGGAAACATCAAACAGACTGATAGCTATAGGGGAGAGGGAGGGAGGGGAAATGGTGGAAGGGAGGAGAAGGGACTAGTGAAAGAACATGTATGAATGATGCGTGGACATGGACAGGGGACTGACTGTGGGCTAGAGAGGTAGAATGGGTGGGTGCGGCAAAGGGGGAAAATTGGGACAACTGTAATAGAATAAACAACAAAAATTTTAAAAGAGTATATTTTTATCATTTGTATAAAAAAGACTCATACTTTATGGTGCTTGCTATGTACTCACTTGTTCAATGAATGTTTGTTGAATTAATTAGTTTGCACAGCCTGCAGTAGCAAAATTGTTTTTTCTCTCATCTTATAATTACTTTTACAAGTGGTTGCTAAATGGGCCTTAGTCATCTCACACTACATAGCCATAGAGTACCTGCAAGAATACAACAAAATATTAACTTCTCTGTTGCCTCCTTTCTCACCATTTTGGAGGGACTGGCTAGGGTCAAAGCATGAAGAAAGGCATCTGCCACACTTTACTTTTGGTTGGCCAGAACACTTAACTGGTGCTCTAGCCACTGAGCATTCCAAAGATGCACAGCAAACTTTTTCCTCCCCACCTCCTTGTACTCACCATACCTGCAGGGGATGTCAGCCAGCCCTCCAAGTAGACGCCCTCAACAACAGAAATATAAAGGAGAATTTGATTTTGAAGTACATACTTACAAGTCATACCTCAGCAATGTCTGTCCAGAAAAAGTACAGCCGTTGTTAATGTAACAACATTTTGTGCAACATCAATGTAACCTGGCAGTCAAGGAGAGTGGACTGGAATATGCATGCATAAACAACGATGACTTCACTGTACCAGTCAGTGGGGGCAGTCGATGCCACTGAGTGACCATGTGTACTGTGTGGCCGTCACATTCAAAATGACTGAGTAGAGCAACAAAATGCATCACATTTTGCATTAACCTTGAACATTCCTCTGCAGAAACTATTTGAATGATTCAGAAGGCTGCAGCTATGGGCCACTGGTG